AAAAAAACACGATCCCCTCAAATAGTGTTTTAGTTATGAAGATTATCTAAAAAATCTCGCTGTGTATAGGTCTGCTTACGTGTTACGTGATTGGCTGAAGGAACCTATAAGATTATGTATGGTGTTCGCAAAGAGAGTGCATAAGTATGTTAAACAGTGAAAGGGACAAAACACCTTGTGGAGTGCCTGATTTACCTATAGAGTGTTTGACTCTAGCTCACCATAGGTACTGCAGGTGCCATGGTACCATACTTTTGTTCTTCTCAAAGACAGATAATATTTTATTTCATAGATGCTTGTCCTTAATTCATGGAGGATTACAGTGGGTGAGGCTCTGTCGAATGCTTCCCTGGAATCTATGAAGAAGACTATGCATTACTTCCATTTAAGTATTGGACTAAACACATTTATGGTCCTTTTACTTCTGGGAAACCAGTGACTGGTGAATAAATTTGATCCTTTATCTCGTGGACAAGTGAGAAGTCTTTCATAGGTTTTAGAGAGACAGGATGATGAAGAAAAATGTTTTAAATTCATCTGAGCATCCTGGTTTTGGAATGGGAATATTGGTAGGTTGTTTCCAAGCAGAAAGGAACAAACTACTATACCTACATTATAGGTGAAGTTGAAGAGACCAAGAAGAGAGTTTCTTCCCTTTACCTGTATCTTTACAAGGAGCAAGGAGTCGGATATCATAAATGATTCCATCATCCCCAGGTGCAGTGGATTTGCTAGTCTTAATGGCTGCAAGGAGTTCATGACGTGAATGGCACATCAGCCTCATCTAAAGTCCCTGGCTAAGTAGGGACTTTCCCCAAGTGTTTTAACTGATTTACCGTAGACATTGTTTACTTTCTAAGTAGCTTTATTCCAAGGTCCTTGTTCAGATGATATGCTAGTTTGCCTCTGGAGGATTGAGTCTTATATTTGACAGGGTTTCTGGGGTGGAATTGGGTAAGGATTTTACCAACTTGTTGACAGAGAGCTTTATTGAAACGATCAAGCCTAGTAGGAATAAAGTCTTCATACCAGCAGCCAATAATTTTAAGAAACTCATCATGATGTTTAGCAGCAAGATGGTATCGAAGGCGTGGCTAGGGTAGGCTACTTTTGCCAAATGGGTGGGTAATACTTAATGCCCAATGATCACTGACTAAAAATGGGATAACTTTTGTAGTATTTAGGAGTGTGTGCTGATTGTATAGAGCTATACAATATAATTTACCACTAAGGTAAGGAGTCTTTTCTACGAGGCATAAGACGTGTATGTGGGCACTGGTGTTTTGAAGATAGACATAATAAACTTAACCGTTTTTACTTATGATACTTCCCTCAGAGCCCAGATGACAACCATCTAAATCCCCACACATTAAGACTGCCAGATGGTTTAGGTACCACCTCACTATCATATGGGTTATTTACATTAATGATGGTGATATTTAGCAATGCATTGCCATGTTTGTCGTCGGTGGAGGGGGGGGGGGAGATAGATAGATAGATAGATAGATAGATGGATGGATGGATGGATGGATGGGTGGATGGATGGATGGATGGATGGATGGATGGATGGATGGATGGATGGATGGATGGATGGATGGATGGATGGGTGGATGGATGGATGGATGGATGGATAGATAGATATATAGAGAGAGAGATTGAAAGAGAGAAAGAGAGATTGGAAGAGAGAAAAAGATTGGAAGAGAGATATTGGATGGGAGAGAGGGAGAGGGAGAGGAAGAGGAAGTTGAAGAGGAGGAGAGAGAGAGAGAGAGAGAGAGAGAGAGAGAGAGAGGAGAGAGAGAGAGAGAGAGAGAGAGAGAGAGAGAGAGAGAGAGAGAGAGACTAATATTACTGGAAATACTTTGCAGTGATTTTGCTTTGAAAATATGTCGTACTAGTGGTTTGTGTTAATTGAAAAATTACACTGTGATCTTGCCTTATTTGTTTTCAAACTGTACTAAAGACAAACGTAAATAACGCAGAAGAGCAAATGTTTATTTTTCTTCTACGCACAAATGATAGTTGAATAGCCTTGCTTTTTCATCTTTGATGGAAGTTTCCTGTAACTATATTTGCTTCAGTGTGTTAATTATACAAAATATTTAGAAATGTTATTTGCTGTTACTCTTCCTTCAATCCTTTAACTGGCAGGCAGACTGAGCTCCTGCCTGACCAGCTGCCATTGCCAGACAATGTCGGTTTGTTTCCGTTCTATTTTCTTGACGTCTATATCTTGCTCCTACATAAAACGTTTCTGAACGTAAGAATGCACTTGCACTTCAATAGAAATGTGACCTATGGTTAGATATATGAAATGGGAATTCGAGGGATAAAGAAGTGCTTTGTGAGTAAGATTTTAAGTGAAACTCGAATGGTTAATGGTTACGAAGCAAAATAGTTGCGATAGACATCAAAGGTGACATAGCACTATAGAAAGATGTAGTAGTAAAAAGGGTAAAGAGGGGAGTTAGTTCATGATTAAATATACTACACGTCAAAAGTCGTATAGCAGTTCAGGATAGTATGGCACTGAATGGGGCAAAGAGGGCTGAGGGTAGAGAGGATAAGTAAATGAGGTAAGGTAGGAATTATCAAGGGCGATTAGATCAAAGTTGGCAAAGAAGTGGGGGGGGGGGGTTCTGCAAGGATGTCCATAGCAGAATGGTTTAAAGGAAAAATGTCAGGAGGGAGAGAATCCAGGGAACGGGGTTGTTGTGACATGAGGAAGTCACATGTGTATTCAGGGGGAAGCGGAATGGATGATGAGGATGGAAGGAAATGATAAAGATTAAACAGGAAAGAATGGGATGTGCTGGGGGTGTAGGGGGAATATGAGTAGGAGGAGGATGGATGTCGGCAGTTACTCAGTGTAGAGGAATGGGAGCAGAGAAGTTGGAGGATGGATGATGTGTAGGCATGTCATCTTGGGTCGTTGTTACATAGTCTTGAATGTCTCCGTGAGATTCTTAAGTGGAGTTGGTTGGGGGTCTGAGAAACAAAGGTTTTCTTTTGAGGGGGGGAAGAGGAGATAGGCGTTTGAGGGGTAGGGGAAGAGTTAGGTGGAGGGGAGGGTGCCGTAAGAGAGGATGGCTGGAAGGTTTAGATTGCCTGCTACGGGTAGAGCAAGGGGGGGGGGGAGGTGGAGGGGCAGAAGAAGATATTGAGATTTCGAATTGCCAAAGAATTCGCTTGGGAGAAGAAAAGGGTGGAAGTGGAAAAGTAAGATGGAGGAGGAATGGATACTGGGGGGTCGTAGAAACATCTTGAGATGAAACAGGAAGGGTGGAGTGAAGAGAAGCCCTGGACTAGGGAGTAAGAGAAAACCTCCTTAACATGTTTCTTGTCGGGCCTCACGTACAGTGAGGCCAATTTTGTATCTGAGAATCGCTACCTTACACTCAGACTTGTAGGTAGAGCAGCCCCTATAAAATACATGGGAGCTACCATAAATGGCACACTATGGAGAGCAGTCTCAACGATCATGACCAGGTTGGGAACACAGAGGGTATCAGGCTTTTGAGCGGCAATTCGGACACTGATGGGGAGAGGTTGATATGTTCGGAGAGGGGGGGACTCTCTGCCAACATAAACATTACAGGGAGGTCAAGTCTTTGGAAAGTAATCCTGTCAATATTGATGGTGGAATTACGGCAGCCTCTAGGGGAAATGGTGTAGCATTGTAATGATGCTGCATCATTGTCCACGAGGCAGGCAATCTGACCAATTCTTTTCGCAAGTATTGGAGGGATGAGCCTGGGCAGGAATGGGTTGGTCAGAAGTCAGTCAGGGTTAACAATGCTTTAATTTGGGATTCGAATGCAACTGTGAAAAGGCTGTGGAAACTTTGCCTACTTTGTTTTGAAGCATTGCTGGAAGAGTTGTCATAACAGGGGGCTGTAGAAGGAATCACGAAAAATCGACCCCATTCGGCTGAGGTAAATAGTATTCAAAAGACGTGTAGAAGTGGGGGTAGTATCTGGATGGGGACGCGTGGAAGAGGGCGTTGCGTTGAGGTGTAGTCCTGCAGAGTTGTAATAAGGGACGATGGGGTAGTAGATGAAGAACGTTGTGGGGTGGAGATGAAGCGAGGTTGTTGGAGGAAGAATAATATTTTCTAGAGGTCGAGTGGGTGGATGATTTGGGATGGAATGAGGTGATAGTAGCCGTTGAGTAATAGCAGTTGTGGTCAAAGGAGAGCCTGGGGTCGGGGAACTGGGAGTATTAAAGTCAGTAGGGCTAGTTGATAAAGGAGCAAGCTTCAGTGTCCCTGGAGTATGCTGGGAGAGAAATGGTCCACCCCTCGGAATTCCCTTGAGGGGTAAAAGCGAGACAACTAAACAGGAGCATACCGTACGCACGGTATACCAATACTCCAGGCCGTTCATAACTAGCACAAAGTCAGCCTTTCATCCCTTCGACACCTTAGAAGTGGATAGCAGGAGGGGATAGAAGGAAACGGAAGTGAAGAAAAACCCGTGTAAAATTAGATGAGTCCCAAGGGAGGGCTGATCCCCAGTACTGGATCCCAGTCTGTCTTGTAAACCCCACAGCAACAGCAGGCAAGGTAGGGAAATAAATTAGAAACTGTACAGCTTAGCCTTTGACCAGACTTCTGAAAATTTGACAAACGTCGACTATCGACGTTGGGAAGTGTATGGAATGATATCTCCTTTGCATCATTCTTAACATTGAATTCAGATTTATACACACTTCCATGTTCTTTGTTTTAATACAAACCATGGCACATTTGTTTTGGTGACTTCTAGCCAATGGTATTTCCAAACATTTGTTTGATGTCTGGACAAGAAACATGTTTTTCTTAACTATAGTATGTAATATGGAATAACGCGTTTAAACTTTTAATAATCTTTACATTAATATCACTCTAATAGTTTCTATCAGATTTTACATGGTATTATTGGTGGTGTTCACTTGAAAGTAATGTCAAGATAGAATTCCTTTTTTTCATTACTTGAAGGGATAGAAGAAAAAACACAAAATAAAAGTATAGTAATTTATTACTCACATATTTGTAACCATACATTAATAAGAATTACAAATACTGAAGGAAGTCCAGATATAGTCAGATTAACAGGAGATATTGCCTGCAATTTTTTTACATTTAAACAAAAGTTTCGTACTTTTAGGTTGTGCATTAACTTCACATTTGTGTCCAAAAGTGCAAGTTTAAATTTTGTGACGTTGACCTTTTTCACACAGGCAGTCTACCTACTACCTACTTTAAAAATAAAAGAATGGATACTGAAATTACATTTACAAAAACAGTTCAGTAATTATGGAATTTTCCACTTCACCAAGAAGCTCAATCAGAGGATTATTGAGAGTTACCAATTACTGCATCACATTCGTGTTCATTCCACGGCAGGCATTTGGTCTTTGGAGGCTTGTGCATCAGTAATAGATCATGGCTGGAAACTATATCACATCAGAATCCTGTTTTGCAAGATGGGAGCCATTTTACACTGGTACTCAGCTTCATAACATTCAGTCCCATTGACGGGGAGAAAACCCCTACAAAGCTCGCTGAATGGAATATGGATTAACATCAGACAGTACATTTTGATCATCCTCACCTGAGAAAATTCCTATTTCGGAACATTTTCTTAAAACCATCTTCTGCTGGTACACAAAAATGAGACATGATCTGGGATGTTGAATTTAAAGATCAGTCATTAGACTCCAAAACGGAAACGTATGGAGTAAATTTAAAGCCCACAAGACATCTTATTGTAAAACACCTGTATATGTAAATAAATATAAGTCCAGGTGTTTCACCTCGCCCATTTTTTGCCTGTCAAATGACTCAGTGACCGACTTTCTCAAAGAAATAATAATGATAACGACAATCCCCATTAATTTCTTTGTGACGAAGGACAGAATGCAACCCTGCATCCAAAGATCTATCCCAGATACTTTCAACTGCTTTTGCAGTCAGGACTACCTACAGGCATTATAACAAAAGGTTTGGAAATACATATGAAAGACATTATAATTATGACAAACTGAATGCTATTTGATTTGCTTCAAAGAAGAGTATGAAGGAGTAATGAGACTCAGAATAAGTCTGCAGAAAATGTAAGATGATACTAAACATAGAGTCGGTTGGGACAGCGTGACTGGAAAAGTAACTGTGCTTGGGCGAACAGTTCAAAGCATTTGCCCTAAACAGGAGTATCACTGTAAATGCGCTCTGTTAATCAACAGGCGGATCCGGATATCCCCCTGATAAGAATCTTATTTCACGAACACATCAGACTACTTCGGGAGGCAGCGCTGACGTACCAATTAAACCTAGTGAGATAAAAAGGTTTCACTTCTTAACAATTAAAGAAAAAGCAGCTTATTGCTGAGGTGCTATATTTCAGTTACAAAGTTATACTTAACAATAACTGATATCCTACATAAATATCAATCTACATGCAAGATATTTGGATAGCTTTATCATGTTCCCAGTTTGAAGGGTGAGAGAGTAATAAATATAATAAACAAAATGGGACTGAGGATATAGCCAAATGTACACCAACACTGATGCTAACCGTATCACCGCATCAGTATAATTACTCGCAATAATTTTCTTTAAAGTACAGCATCATCTTAGCCCTGCACGCCGCCGGCTGAACGCGGCCCGAAAGCTAGTCTCACCTCAGTGACACGGGAAAGGCCAGGAAATCTAATATCCGTCAGCTACTGCAATCCTTTTGTGTAGAAGCATGTATCAAAAATTAACTGCATTATCACAATATCTTAAAAAGAAAACTGGAATATATAAGAGGCCTTCTACTGTATCGATCTTTCTCTGAAGGAAGGTACCATTGTCAAGCAGTAGAAATATAAATGTGGGTTAACTGGCCAGCAATATATTCCAGACTTCTGACACTACAGTCACTACAAATATTAAGGTACAAAGCAGATTAGGACAATCATCTAATGCTTTACATTTTGTACAAACATTACTACTAGGGATAATTTATCTGGTTATATAAATGGAACGTTGTTTTATGCCATTTAAATGGACTTTTCAAAGCAGGAATAACTACCTAACAGGCATCCTGTTCACCAAACAGTTCATGTATCACGTTTGGCTGGGAAACTACTTCATTGTAATGGTAAGAGAGGCAGATATATACAGAAAAGTGTTCAGTGACAGCACTACAACACAAAGAGTCTTTACAGGCACAATGCTGTACCACCAATTTGTGGAATTGCTGTGACTTTACAATCAACCAGAACAAGCCTTAACTAAGGATGTAACTTTCTGAAGTGCAATCCGCAAAACATCAATACTTTGCCACGCGCAGAAACATCTGCAATGCAGTTTCGACGTATTCCTAACGCTGCAATACCCCCTCAGAGTGGACAAAGTACTCTGGAGGGCTTGCAAGGTGAACTTACACAATGATCCTCATGCCATGCTATGTACAGTAATTCTACTGTATCTCACTTTTTCTTACACAAACCAAATGTTAGTATACTGAGAAA